TTTCAAATCATAATGATAACAGCCAAATGGCCCTGATCAAAAGTTTACATACCCTTGAATGTTTTGCCTTTTTACAGACACACAGGGTGACACACATACATTTAAATAGCAATTAAACCTGTGGCTTTTAAAAATGCGTCTGTGTAAATGGTCATTGAGTTTGTTAGCTCTCAAGTCGATGCACTGAACAGTCTAGAAACTGAGCCATGGGGAGCAGAAAAGAACTATTAAAAGACCTGCGTAACAAGGTAGTGGAACATTATAAAGAAGGAAAAGGATATAAAAAGATATCCAGAGCCTTAAAAAAATGCCTGTCAGTACTGTTCAGTCACTTATTAAGAAGTGGAAAATTCGTGGATCTAATGATACCAAGCCAAGGTCAGTTAGACCAAGAAAGATTTCAGCCACAGCTGCCAGAAGAATTGTACGGGATACAAAAAAAAAAAACCCAGATGTAACCTCAACAGACATACAGGCTACTCTGTAAAAAGACGGTGTGGTTGTTTCAAGGAGCACAATATGACGGTACTTGAACAAAAATGAGCTGCATGGTCGAGTTGCCAGAAAGAAGCCTTTACTACGCCAATGCCACTCTAGAGGCACTGGGAATCCTGTAAAAATTGATGGTAAGATGAATGCAGCATATTATCAGAACATAATGGCAGACAATTTGCATTCTTCTGCACGAAAGCTGGGCATGGGACACTCTTGGACTTTCCAGCGTGACAATGGCCCTCAGCACAAGGCCAAGTTGACCCTCCAGTGGTTACAGCAGAGAAAGGTGAAGGTTCTGCATTTTTTATTATAAAAAATATATATTTTACATTAAGAAAATGAAACCTAGGTAGGTGTTTTTGTATTTTTACATTATTTTCATAATCTATATCATATGTATATCTTCATAATGCATTATGTGCATTCATAAAATTGATATCTATTTAGTATTGCATTATTTTTTTTTTTCATTATTATGTTTTTTGCAGAAGACGTGCCACGCTTTATACGCCCTATGCTGGGAAATGGTGATGCTGAGGCCCCTCTTTTGTCATCCTTATCCATGTGTCAGTGTGTGCATGAGGAGGGTAGGAGGAGGAGAAATGGGGAAAACCAGGAAGCAGAGAGGGAGGCAGGAAGGGGGTGTAAGAAAGCGCGAGAAGATTAGAACATGATTGGCTAAAGGAGGATTAAAACTCAGCCCAGTTGGCCGAGGTTCAGCTCCTTCTGCTGTGTGTAAGTGCGTGTCTGAGTATTTACGAGGGGAAGCCTGTATGTTACACACATGTGTGTGCTTGCATCTCTCTCTCTCTCTCTCTCTCTCTCTCTCTCTCTAGCGTGCCCTGTGGTCGTACATCACTTTCAACACATATCAAGTCAGACCAGTAGAACGGGTTAGAAAGAGCAAACAGAAGAGGGAGGGGAGAGAGACAGAGGTAGAGAGAGAGAGAGACCAGCGAGAAAGACTTTGTCAGAGAAAGGCATAAAGACATCGGAGTAAAAGAGAAAGTGAAGCTCGTCTCTCTGTGTGTGTGTGTGTTTGTGAAGACAGCTGCAAAAGGAAGTAAGATTATGGAAATGTTGTTTGGCACAATATTGCAACAGATTGTTCTTTGTTTGGCTTATGAAATTCAAGGAAATGCATGCATATGTGTTATGTATTTTGTGAGAATCCTTTCTTGCCGTAACACTTTGTGTTTATGTAACTTTCTGCATGATCCAGCTCTGCATTCACATCAACCAATATTGTTCACACTTCAATATTTATTCATAAGCAAGATGGTGATTGAAATTCGCACATCCCGCACACAGCATGCGCAAAAGTGTTAATTCGCTGCCTTCGTGTTAACAGCACACTTCGGTTTACTAA